TAAATTCGGTTAAATGTAATTTAACTAAGTTAACCACCACGAGCTTAGCGGTCAAGCGGTTCATAAGCTTAGCGGTCAGGCGGTTCACAAGCGTAGCGGTCAAGCGGTTCACAAGCACAGCGGTCAAGCGGTTCACAAGCTTAGCAGTTAAGCGGTCCACAAGTTTAGTGGTCCACAAGTTAAGCGGTCTAGCGGACCACAAGCTTAGCGGTCTACAAGCTTAGCTGACAAGCGGCCCACGAGCGTAGCGGGCATCCAGCGGTCAATCCCATAAGTGCAGGCTCACATGGTTTGTGGTAGCTTTGTACACGGCTAGGATCTGCGAGTTCTTCATCGAGCGTTTGTGCAGTGGTCTGTGAAGCGGTTCATTTAGCGTCTTCCCCCCCCCTCCCATCCCTATTTTTCTTCCTTCCACTGTTTGATCAGTGTGACGGGTGCCTGGAATGGGGGCTCATGGCTGGGTTGCGGGGATTTGCCAGCCATGGGGGCAGTTTTTCTATCTAGGGGCTGGCTGGCCACAGCGGAAGCCCCTGGGTATCCCGGGCACCCACCTTCCACTTAAGCGGGGCAGTTGGTTAATAATAATAATAATAATAATTAAAAATTGTAATGTGCCTTTTCCATGCAAATATGATCAAAAGTGCGAAAGAAAAAAAGAAAGAAAGAATGAGATAAGAAATAAAGAAAGAAATAACAACGAGATACCGTACCTTTCTTAGTTGCATGAGAATGTTGATTACACTGAGAAAGTGGCCTGATTCCAAAGTTTCCTTTGTCCTGAAACACAATATTGGTGACTTAATCCTGAAGTAAGGCTGAAATAGTATCAAAAAACTTATCAAGAGATCCCAAAGGCTCCTGTGAAGCCATGGGAACCCCTTCTCAATCTGACATAAAAGATTTCTTGCCAGCAAAATCCTGAGTTTACCTTAGCCCAAATGTTCATTGCCACATTTACAGTATTAGTAATATATGTAGTAATCATTATTCTATTACAGTGTATTTAGCTACCGACAGGAACCACTGACACGTGAAAGTGAGGTGCCATGGGTTTTATTGCAGCTTTTAATCTTGGCCATTGACTGCAAAACCAAAATTAGTGGATACAGAGTAACCTTGGACCCAGAGCAGTTGGCCTTGTTAATCTAATGTGACTAACATGGAAGTGATGTTTCATAAAGCTAACAAGTTCTACAGCATTAACTTAGCAGAAACTCAAAAAAATCCAGTTCAACAGTACGAACAACAAACATTTTCATTCCAGTACTTACTTGGCTCTGGACATAAAGTCATCATAAAGGTAACGTTGCCTCTTTGATAACCGACATCTGACCAAGTGTTCATATTTCTTAGGCATTTGGGTTTCAACTTCTAGTTTTAGTCTCCTTAACAAAAATGGTCTAAGAACCTAAAAGAACAATGTGTTATTGACTTTAACAAAAATATTTAAAACTAAGCAATCAACAACAACAGATGGCAAAAGTGATGATTTATTCTTGATGTACCTCTCGACAGGATCCACTAAATGTCGGTATTAATAGTAAACATCAGTGGGTTTTAAAAGAGTTTTTTGTTCTTGGCCACTTGAAATTACCACATAGCAATAACGACTATGCAATATTGGATTGAGTGGCCAAGGTATATGTTACAGGTCAAAACTACATTCAGGTTAAATCAAATATTATTAAAAACTGAATTATTGGATAATGCAGTCCCAGAGCTCTGATTGGCTTAGACATCATGGTATATGAGCCATTATAGCATTCTCTCCAAACATGGTAACTGTATGCGTCTGCTCAAAATTAAAAGCAAGCTGAAAATCAGTTGTTTTTACAAGTCAAGTCGGGGGGAATTCTCGATATTTTGTGGCCGTTTTTAATAAAACAATTATTCCACTTGCGCTTGTTGGATATGAGATGATTATAGCCAACTCATATCATATGCCCACTCGTGGAATAATTGTTAAATAACAGGCCATTTCTGAGTTCCCCCTGTGGCTCTGTATCAAAATAAGGTTAAGTGCTCAGCCTTCGATATGGAAATGATTTTTCATTCTCGTGCAAATAAAACTCATTTTCACAAGAAAGGTTGTGCACTTGGCCTCATTTTGAAAGTGAGGAACTCAGAAGTGGCCTATACAGCTTAAATAAAATCTTTTTATTTTTTAACTGAGTTTAATTCTCAATTTCCTTTGTCTCTTAGCCCTAATTATTCATGACCTAGAGCCAAGAGACAAAGGAAATTGAGAATCAACCAAGATTGAAAATTTTTTACTGAACCTGAATATATTTTGACCTGTAACATATATACTATGCTACAACTGGCAATCCTTTCAAGTTTTTGGTACACTAGGTACTCACTTTGTGAAGTCTTTTGATGAGCCCCTCATTATACTCTCTACTGCCTTCAATCATTCCTGAAAGGGGGTTGGAAAACCATTCTTTGAAGTCCTTATGTGACTGAAAAACATGGGGCATTAGAAAATGCATCAAAGACCACAGTTCCATCAAGCTGTTTTGTAAAGGTGTCCCAGTAAGGAGCAGTCGGCAGTGGCTGTTAAAGTTGAGCAGGTACTGCCATCTTTGGGACTTGAAGTTCTTGATGTTTTGGGCCTGCAAAGTACAATGAGAAGCTCAGCTTTGAACAATAATATTATTTATGGTACCACCTTAACACAGCAACACAGTTAATTATGAGGTCTGATGATGAACACACGCACCTCATCAAGAATGAAGTACTTCCACTTCTTTCTTCTGAAGGCCTGATGATCTTGAATAACAAGCTTGTATGATGTGATGCACACATGGAATGCATTTGGTTTTGTCCAGCCCTGTTGAAACAAATTGAAGTGTCCCAAATGAATGGGATTTGGCCATTATTTTTTCGTTGCTCAATTAAGGAGTTCTAACTCTTGCCAGGGTCAAACTTAGTGTTGCAAAACACAAACAGTTAAGAGCTAGCACTTAAAGAAGCACATGTTTTGTACACATAGAAAAACAAAACGACAAGGCAACAGTATTAGAATCCTCTTGAAACTGTTCTTCCAAGATTTAAAAAAAACTCAAATTAGATGGCCATACAAAATGTCTAAAACAACTTAAAACCTGATCATTTTGCTTGCTTATCCTAATCTGCATATTACTTGACCTATTGACTTTGACATTTGACATTGACATAATTGGACTTTGCAGGTTGCAGAAGTACAGAAAAAAGAAAAGTCGAAGCTCTGACAGAAGACAAGACCAATGCACCCACCTGTCTCTTGGCCTTGCGTTCCTTTTGGCTGCCATAGTAAGTCAAGATTTTGAATCCAGGACACCATTTCTTAAACTCCAACTCCCAATTCAGCATGACAGATGTGGGAACAACAACAAGGTGAGGACCCCACATGCTCTTCTCACAAGCCAGGTGTGCAAGCAATGCTATTGTCTGGATTGTCTTGCCCAATCCCATTTCATCAGCCAGAATGCCATTTAGGTGTTTCTCATGCATGGTTACCAGCCAGTCTAAGCCAATCAGTTGATATTCACGCAAGACACCACGCAGCAAAAATGGTACTTTGGTCTTGATCTGGGAAAAGAGGAAGAAAATGTTGTTAGTCCATTTATAGAAGTCAGTTATGGTGAGAGTTACATGGATTGTAGTTCTACCATTTCGGTTTGTGGGCACTTCCATATACATAAGTTGCATAATTTTCTTCTCCTGAATAACTACGCCCCCTTGAGGATGGACTAAAAGCTAGATACTTACTTCAGTAGTCTCCAAGGTGAATCCTCGAGGTTGTAAGCTCTGTGCAGTTGCAGCTGCATCTGTCAGTTCTTGGTCTGGATCAGAATCAGCACTCTACCAAAAAATATTATTTCATCATTATTGTACCTATAATTGAAATACTGTGTTTAAAGATGAATAAAATGGTATTCATTACTTAGTACAACATAAAAATTAGCAGGGGGCGATGACTCAGCATCTCCTTTACAGTGCTAAGAAGAGGTCACTACCTATACTACTTTTCAAAAATGCTACGTTCAACTCTTGCTCAATTCATGTTGAAGAGTACATTATGTCAGGTGAAAAAAAATAGGTCATTAGATATAGCATTATGTTACTGTGAAACTCACAAAACCATGGACACCAGAAATATTTATGGAATGTTATTGTGTTGCCAGAAATAAGCCAATAAGGCGCGAGATAACTAAACCGGAAAAAGCAACGGTAATTAGTTTGTGGTTTTAAGGTTTGCTGGCGTATCCCGAACTTTATTGTGATTGGCCAGTACACAATCAACATTCCTGACATTTTTCAGGGGTTCACAGTTTTCTGAGTTTGACAGAAAGTGGTAGAACACGAATAATAATAATATTAAAGGTTCTATACATTCTTTTCAACAAGTTGCAACTTGATGAATGGTGACAATCAAGAACATATTAAGCGACCAATGTACTGAAGATGCTGAACTTTATATCATTGCCTTTGTAAGTTCCAGATGAATGCAGAAATCTAGTTGCTCTGATACAAGTCCAGTTTTCAAAGGTAACAAAACACACCTGTGATTCACTGGCTTTTTCCTGGTCTGTCTGAACAAGATACTCCATCCCCTCTTCATCACTCATTTCTGCAAATCAAGAAGACAATAATTGGATACCACAAAGAAA